ATAAGGCGGTGTCTCGGAACTTCACGTACACTCGTACGTGCAGAGGAAGACGGTAAGAAGAAGCGAGTACTTGGTTAAAGTAAAAAGTAGAACTGTATTTAGTATAGTTAATGTCTGCAATAAATCACTATTTATCGTCATCTAACTGTGTCTGAATACAAATGTGTATATCGACTATCTGCTCACCACTCATTGCGTGCGTCTGTCGTGGCGCGTCTTCGTTGGATGATATAATGGCCTATATCAACCAATTAGGAACTACTCGTAAGTGCTGCAGAATACTTGTCCTTATGACAATGTTCTGAGAATATAACTCTTATAGTTATATTCTAGTAACGATTTCTTATAAATTGCTATGAAACGATTCACCTTGTTACATTTCCTGTAGACACGATGTATCGGGTAGCTCGTGTACCTCATATACCTTACCTTCTCCTTCTTCACCTTTAAACTTTCGAGCTATATGCTGCATACCATTTGGGTGGACAATCTCATAAATACTTGTCTGACTCATTCCATCTGCTCTTCTTGTTCTTAAAGTACAGTGGCGTGTTGTCGTAGGCGTCAAACTATCGATTCGAGCTTGCTGTCATCAGCAGGTTGCGGTCTCGGTAAACGATATCACGCATACCGTCATATTGGAACTTGGTCTTGTTGTGAGCTCAATCAATGACGAGTCAACAACTTCCAGAAAAGTCGCATGACCTTGTCTGAAACCGATACAAGATGAAGCATGAAGTAAGTGTATTGACGCAAACAAAACAAAAGCTACAAACACCGGAGCTCCCAACCATGCGCGCGTCACCCCTGTAGGTACGGCAAGTCCACCCACCATTGGGTCGCATAGTTGTCACCAAGGAGTTGCTTGATGTCCACAGCTGCCGTCAGCTGCCGGCTGAAGTTCACTCGAGCACCCGTCGCTGCCCCTGGGCCAGAGTTGTTAAACTCGCCAAAGTACACGTTGTCCGTGCTGTTATCTTGCCACTTTGCCCAACCCGTGGCATTGACCACCTGGCCAAGCCAGCTGTTCTGAAACACGACGCGAGAGAAAAGCCGCCACGGACGACCAAGGAAGGTCTTGCCGATGAGGCTGCTGTTGGAGCTGTACACGTTCGCACGGTTGAAGACGTAAAAGGAGTCGCTGTCTTCAGTGGAACGACCGTTGGCAGTAATGTACCCCTTACCAATGCAGTCGATATCACATTGCTCATACCAAGCCGCTGCGTTCATGCCGAAAACGAAGTCGACAGTGCCGCTGATGCGTGACTTGACATACAGCTGGCGGCCTTGATTGGACAACAAGGTGTCTTGGTATCCTCTGAAGTCACAGCCGTAGATACCGTAGTTGGTGCCATTCACAGTCGCCGCGACCGCTTGTCCCACGGGTCCCGCCGTGTTTGCGATGTTGAGGTTGTACACCTTCACGTTCTCTGCCTTGAATAACACCGTGCTCGTCAGTGCATTGCGATTCCACTTCACCTCGGGAGGCACGTCCTTCTGCGACATTGCGTGAGTAAATGTCACCTGGTTCTCATTAAACGACGTCGCGTCGCACGTGGCACCTTGGAGCACGAGAGCACCACAGAGAGGCGGAATGACCACTTGTTCCTCGTACAATCCTGGGCGGATAAAGATGATTTGCAGCTTGTCCGAAGTGAGGTCCAGTCTTGCAACAGCCTCGTTCATGGTCTGGCAGCTGCCTTGGTATCTAGGATCACCCGTAGGATCCACAACGATGGCACCAACCGGCGGCTCGATCCGAGCGTTTGGGCCACTGCACATGATCGGCTTGGCTGCTATCATTGTCATGACGCTGGCAAGAGCTAGTAGCGATGGCACGAAGATCCTCATGGTTACCGGATTGGGTCTTGATGGAGGCGAGGAAAAACTCAAAGTGAGGATTCCGGTGCGACGGTCTCGACTTGTTCGGTACGTTCACGATGTAGCTACAGACGATCCGAATGTCACAGACAGAAGGTACGCTAAAGCTGGAGATTTCAGGATGGGAAAAATCGTTGTGTGCGATCGCTGTTTGCGGTACATGGTAGTAATCACGTATCTATTCAGCTGCTGTTGTCGCAGGGTTGAAGTGGTCTGTCTGGCTTCATTTCGGATTCAGTGCTCACCCCGAGACGAGGTGTCCTCTATCAAGTCATAACCTGTGACAAGTTGCTAAGCTGGCGCTTACTATGCTTCACCTGCACCTGTTGGATAAGAAGTTATTGCTGGAAAGGAGGACATAACTTTAAAGAAGGAGATTGATGCGAAAGTTGGCGAGTGATAGAATGAGAGATACCAATGTAAATTGATGGTCATTTGCAGTATGGTTGGTGGGTAAAACTACTTGAGCTACGAGTTGTGGATGGATTGGGGGTGCAGTGCGCGTTGCGACTATCAAGTCACGTGTTCCACAGAGCTCTGTACGCAGACCGGTGCCGTTCCTGATCTTTGTCGAGTACGGGCAGCCATCGTGTAAGACATTCTTCATGTTAGTCCTGGACCCTTTTGCGACGGGTACCACATTTCAACCGGTCCTCCTCCTCTTCGCCTTAGTCCTTTTTTACGATCTCTTCTTGGTTCAGCTCCAGCCGATCATTCTGATCTTCCCCGATCTGATAGAGAAGTTCCAAAGGGACATGGTATTCCAAGCACGCAGCTTTTCAAACTTTGCTTTCAGCTCTATTCAACTACATGCCTCCGCATTCTGCTTCAAGAAGTATTCGGTTTTTCGATACCCTCCTGCCAGTTAGACAGACGAAAGGCCAAGAAATCACATCCGCAAGTTTGGCTGTGGTGCTGGCCGCGCCCTTCTTTCAAGTGTGATACTGAATAGTGGCCGCAACGCGCTTCTACTTCCCTACTAACATTCTCAGTCCGCGCAGCTGCCGATCGGCGCATGACAACAGGTCGGTCTACTTTGTTAGTGTTTCCCACTTGGCCACGCCTGTCAAAATCGAACGCGTTCTGCTGTAAGTAGCGGCGGCAGTGCCGGTCGAATGCCACGATGATGCCGTCACCCTCGACTACAGCTTATCCGTCACCTCGTGTGGAAATGGATAGGCGAACCTGCAAGTTTTTCGGTTATCCGTCATGTACTTCAGATTTTGTCATCTAAAGTATACTTCGTCATCTACAGAAGAACTACTCCTTCCACTTAATTCAACCCACACTAAACAAAGAGCAAGGGACGTGTCTCACGCCTTTGTGCATGTGTCAATCGTATGCAGCATCCTGAAGATAAAGTGCCTCAATAGCAGTTCGAAGATCGTTGCCTCGATGTTCATTTCCTTCCTTGTTCGGAGTGGTATTGGCTCGCTGAAGTGTCGACGTTTCTTTCGGTCAATAACGTCCACATTTTGATCATTAAAATTGCTTGTATGTTTGATCATCGAAGCTACTTGTGTGTCATCACAGTACAATTACGTAAGAAGCTGCAACCTCTTTGAGGTCATCAATATCTCCATCCATGAACCCATAACTTTTCGGAGGGGACACTGTCCCTTGGTAAAATCGAAATATGCCAACACGTAGTGCTCGCCACTTCAGCTATTCATTTGTATTTGCTATGCTAGCAAATGTCAAGGGAACATCCACTTTATGCTACGAGGCAACGCCTCAGTCAGGCCGCCCTCTCCGTATTTTTAACTTTATCGTCTTCATCATGTTAAGCCATGTCACCCTTACCTCTAATAATGCAGCTCACGATGTCGATCTTTCAATTGCTCGTGCAACGGCCTCCTCTGTTACGATTGAAGCTGCCAGTGATTTTGCTGTGCACGCTGTCGAAGCCGCTACTGACACTGCAACCCCTTCCGCTCCCGCTTCATCACGGGTTGTGAAGGCCGCCATGCACCGAAACTTAATTGCGAAACCACGAAAGTGAAGTGGTTGTATGACATCGCAATCATCTTTAACAAGAACGTGCCGGAAGATGGATCCTGGTAGACGATTTATCGCTGGCATTCTGGCCACCTCCGATGTATAACTACGATAATGCTGTCGACACCACTGGCGGCACGGCGTGTATAACGAGATGGAGACAATAAGGAGGTCACGATGGCCCTGATGCATCATTCCGGAGCTGCTCTGCGGGTATGCGCGCATACATGATCGTAAAACAATGCAATATACCTTGTGGTGTCGCGAAGGATAGAATGGACCAGTTGTGGGCGACGACTGTCTTCGTGAAAACAAGTGATGTCGTTAACATTGTCCCGAAAGCATGTTAATCCCGTATTGTCTTCACTTCCATCTTTTCCAGTGTAGAATCCATCGTCATGCTATCGTCTTGCCCTTGCGACGTCGCTGATGAACAATACTCCAAACTGGAAATTGGAACACAACAGATGATCGCGAACTTCTACTATTAGCAGAAAGTCTGTCTAGTAGAACGGAGTTTTTGAATAGTGAGCGTTCTCCTGTTATGTAACGGGGCACCCTGAAGCTTGTACTGGTGACAGTACAAGCTTCATATTCTGATGACAGAATAAGGCGGTGCCTCGTAACTTCACGTACACTCGTACGTGCAGAGGAAGACGGTAAGAAGAAGCGAGTACTTGGTTAAAGTAAAAAGTAGAACTGTATTTAGTATAGTTAATGTCTGCAATAAATCACTATTTATCTTCATCTAACTATGTCTAAATACAAATGTGTAAATCAGTTATCTGCTCACCACTTATTGCGTGCGTCTGTCGTGGCGCGTCTTCGTTGGTTGATATAATGGCCGATATCAAACAATTAGGAACTACTTGTAAGTGCTACAGAATATTTGTTCTTATGACAATATTCTGAGAATATAACTCTTATAGTTATATTCTAGTAACAATTTCTTATAAATTGTTATGAAACGATTCACCCCGTTACATCACCCCCCCCTTAACCATTAGTCACTTAGTGACTAATTGACTAAATGGATTCTCGTCCCAAGTCATTTGGGACGGGGTTCGCACTTGTTGGTCCGCGTCCACTTTCCAACATTTCATCGCATGGTTATTAAGCCCATGCGATGCGCGAGCAAGGCCGCCGAGAGCGCGTCTGCACGTCTCTGTGCGGACGCCGAAGCAGAAACAACAGAAACTGATGTCTCATCGGTTGCTGAAACGACCCAGCCTGTGTCACTTGGTGACGCAGGCGCTGGTCATGAAGACACTCGTGTCTTCACAGAGTACGAGCTCGGTGTCTCGTACTCTCCTGATACGGAAGACGGATCCGTATCGACGGCGATTGAATCTAAGCCGCCTGCCAAGCGTGGCATGGATGATGCAATGCGTCGTAGCATCTTTGGTTCATCTGATGAATCAGATGAACCATCCTAAAGCGAAGGCGCTCGAGATCGCAAGACTCGGGCGCTCACATTGGTGTCGGTTCTCCTATGGACACCACTTTGCAGCGAGATACCAGTACTTCTGTCGGCACGTCGCAGGAAGAGCGGGACCGCAATGTGTTGCGTCTCGCTCCTGAAAAGAAGGCATGGATGCCTCCTAAATCAGTCATGGATCACTTTTCGGCGACGACGAGTGATCGTTATCGAACACGGTTGTTCGATTCGTCAAGGATCCATCACCTTGACCCCTGTGCGAAAGACTATCGCGCTGAGAATGAATTCTTCATCGATGCTTTCTTTAGACATCGATGGTACAGGGGGAATCACAAGCGTGATGGTCCCTCACTGCTTCAAGCGTGGAACGCCTACATCCATAATCTTGAGGATGTAGGTCGAGATGTTTGGAACGACAAACTTGTCAGAGCTCGTGATAAGTTTGAAAAGCGAACCCCGACAGGTGCACGCTATGAGCTGCATCGTCTGTCAAGGGAGAAAGGATTACCCTGCCTCTCTTGGGGAGACTCGTGCCCATGTTGTGTGAACAACTCTGCACGAGCACCTAAGGAGGCTTACCTCCTTACCAGCCCGTGGTGGCGCGTACGTGTCTCTACTGAGATGTACGAAGGGATTGACAACCTGAAATCCCTTTACGACAGGCCGGGAAGACTTTCTCCGGCGGTCCTTCTGCGGCACAGGATGTGCCGCGTCGTACTGCTCGACCAGACCCAGTACGTCGATCATCAGTTGGGAGCGGGGCTCCCAAGAATCCCAGGACGGGGGATAGCCGCGCCACCGGACGAGGTAACTCGTCCGACGTCCGTTCACGTCGCGGTGGTTCAACAGCAGCTCAACTAGATAGCGCTGGCCACCGCGAGAGTCCTCTAATGGAGGTGGAGGAGGAGGAAAGACGCTCTCCACACGATCATGTGGATCGGTGTGTTCCCGAGAGCTTCTTTGATCGCGTAACGCAAGGGTTACGCGGCGATCTCGAACATGAGCGGGACAAGCGTCTTCAACTGGCGGACGCTGTCTTGAAGCATCGAGCTGAGTTTGCCTTTGCTCAGCTTGAGAACGAGAGATCTCTGACATCTCTTCGTGACGAGCTAAGGGTAGCTTGTGTGGATATTGAGCGGTCTCGGGATGAGATAACTGCTCTTCAGACCCTTGTCGATGCCCACCATCGGGAGCACAAGGCTCTCTGTGAGATGCTTGAGCGCAAGGGCGTTCTTCATCGGAAGAAACAGCGTACTGATGGTACGGCTTAAGCCGACCAACGTAACACGTAGGATGCGTTCGCATCTTACGTGGTAACTCGGTCGTGTATGCATTGCCTAGGCGGTGCAATACACGAAATGGGCCAATGTACTTGGGTAGTAGTTTACTGCTACCCAAGTTAGTCACTACATGCTTTGGTAGATTAACCGTAGACAGTAGGACTAAGTCACCTTTAATAAATAAAAGAGTGTTTGCCCTTCCATTCTTGTCAGCGTTTTGCTTTTGCTTATCCACCGCTTCGGCGATGGAGTCTTGCATGAAACGGACTACCGTTTCACGAGCCAGTATGAACTCATCTGATGACTCGTTAGCTTCAGTGCGCTGTGATTGCACTGCAGCGACATCAATCTTTTCTTTAGTGAGGGCTTCCGCGCTCTTACTGGCATCATCTTCTTCGATATCGATGTTGTCGATATCGGCATCAAACGCAATCTCCTCATCGTAAGAGCGTGATGAGCGTGAACCAAATCGGTTTTTGCTCGCGCGAGTCTCTCCCCCCCTTAAACCATAGTTACACTTTAGTAAGGTGGGTACACGCGGATGGTGCAAGCCATTCACGTAAAACGGTGTATGTGTCGTGGACGCATGCACCGAGTTGTTGATGGCAAACTCTACCATGGGCAAGAACTCACTCCAACTCTTAAAGGAGTGTACGTATCCTCGAAGTATCTCTTCAAGGACACGATTGGCACGTTCCGTCTGACCATCTGACTCTGGATGATCAGATGTCGACATCTTCAAGCGCGTTCCGAGTGATTTGAACACGGAACGCCAGAGATCAGCAGTGAAGCGTGGATCTCTGTCTGATACGAGTTCACGGGGCAACCCATGAAGTCGGAAGATGGTGTCAATAAAGACACAAGCACAGCCACTTGCCGTGATTGTCTCTGGTACAGCCACAAGGTGTACCATTTTGCTGAATCTGTCAACAAAGACGAGAACACCAGTATTCCCGCGTACGTTGTTGGGTAACCCGAAGACGAAGTCCATTGAGATGGATTCCCAGCACTCTGCCGAAACTGGTAGAGGCTGTAAAGGTGCACGCAGTGAAGGACTTGACTTCACTCGTTGACAGACTTCGCATGCGCGAACATACTTTCGCACAAACTGATACTGCCGGGGCCAGTAAAAGTCTCGACTCACCGTGAGATATGTTTTCTCACGGCCACGATGTTCTCCTATAGGAGCATCGTGATACTCGAACATGATCCGCAAACGCAGATCAGTATCATCTGGAATGACAACACGTGGTGTGTCACCAGAAACAGCTGTATAATACAGTAAACCGTTGCGAGTAGTGTATCGATCTGATGCAGATCGAGACGCAGACGATAATCGTTTCAACGATTCTCGAGATGGTTGTGAGAGATGTGTCAACAACTTCACAATCTCACCATCTTGGGCATACGCCCGCCCCACATCATCATACAACGTTGTAGATGGGACTGAGGACGTCATAACCGCAACAGTGGCTGTCCCACTGTTGGGTTTTGCGACTGTTTCAAAGTCGGGACGACGTGAGAGTGCATCAGCGACGACATTGAGTCGTCCTGGTTTGTACTCGACCGTAAAGTTGTATTCTGCGAAGAATGACAACCACCGCGCCATTCTTTGTGAAAGGTGCGGGCTGTTTACTGCCGTGCGTAACGACGCATGGTCTGTGCAAACAATGAAGGGTATCTCTCCTAATAGATAGACTCTGAACTTCGCGAGTGCATACTTCATGGCAAGGAGTTCCTTGTCATGCACTGGATAGTTCCGCTCAGCTGGTTGCAGCTGACGCGACTGATAGCAGACGACGCGTTCAACGCCTTCAAGTTCGTACTGCATTAATGCACAGCCGATTGCGAAATCGCTGGCATCACAGACCACATGAAATGGCCTGTCCTGATCGGCTATTGCTAGTACTGGGGATTGTATCAAGCTCTGCTTGATACCATCAAAGGGCGCTGACATTCAGCGTTCCATAACCACCTGTCGTTCTTTTTCAACAAACGAGAGAGGTGCACAGTCATCTCGGCGTAATTGCGTGAATACTTGTGCAAATACGCCGCTAGCCCAAGGAATTTGTGAAGACCTTTGACATCAACCGGCACAGGCCAGTCGGTGATCGCCTTGATCTTTTCGGGATCAGGACGTACTCCGTTCTTACCAACGATGCACCCAAGAAGTGGTATTTCGCTTCCTGCAAATATACACTTCTTGAGGTTTGCATACAATTGATGCTTTCGCATGATTGTAAGAACCTGTCGGACGTGGTACCTGTGAACCTCAACGTCCGACTTTCCATCCATAGCCCGACTATGGCTGAGTGCGTCATCGAAATTGCTCGGTGCGAATTCTCGTACTGGTCTCAACAGATGTGTATCACATCTGTTGAACGTGGCATGGGCATTACTAAGCCCTTGTGGCATTACTAGCCATTCCCAGAGCATGCCACTAGGTATGCTCACTGCGGTATACGGTATGTCCCGTTCTCGCATAAGGATTTGATAGAAGCCATCCATCAAATTCATGGACGAAAAGATAACATTTGACATACTATGAATGAATACGTCCTTCCTTGGTATCGGCGTCTGAGCAGGTACCGTTGCAGTATTCAACTTGTTAAATGCATGCACTATCCGCCACTTTCCTGTTACTTTTCGCACACAGAAGGTCGGAGAGCTATGTGGGGAAGTTGATTCCCTCACATGGCCCGCAGCTAAACGATCGGCAAAGAACTTGTCGATCGCAAGTACTTGTTCACGAGGCAGTGGCCACTGCTTCATGACACAGTACTTCGAGCCTGGTTTAAGCTCGACCTCGTGTCGAATACCTTTATCCTTCGGTAACTCGCACGGAACAGTTTCAGGGAATACATCCGTGAATTCAACCAAATCTTCATAGATATGATTTGTCTTGAGCGATTCCCACGATTGGGAGTCATATTGCTCAACTCGTGTCTTTTCATCGAGGACACTCTCGTCCATAGATTAACTACTGAGAACTATCTCGTTCTCAGTAAGCATTGTTGCTGACCTTATTTCGGCTACACACTCGTCGTCAGCGACGAGTATGCAGATCTGCTTGACTTTGCCACTACGCAAATCACGCAAGAACCTTTTATGTTCGAGCGTTGGCAACTGAGTGATCTCCGAAGTTAACTTCGGAGGCGCAATCAGATCAAGTGTATAAGCGCCTACGCTTGATCCATCATTGACTACGACATTTACTGTCTCTGTCACTTCCTGGGGACTTATTCCCTCAGGCTTCGAAGGACTTATTCCTTCGTCTTCCCGGGGACTTATTCCCGCGGGTTTCGGGGAACTTATTTCCGCCGTATTTGTAATATCAGGACTTATTCCCTTTACTTCCTCTGGCTGGGGTTGCGCAACCACAGCGAGATCCTCTACGAAAGACTCTCCAGTCGATCTAGGATTATCGTTTCGTTTAACCTGAGCGATCGATTGTTTCTCTTCTAGATGTTCCCCGCTAGGGATACATCTTTGTCCCAGTCCACCCGACTTATTCGAGTGGTGGACCTTCGGCGCAGCCTGTGTTTCCTCACAGCCGCCGGAACTTTGCTCCGAAGTGTAACCGTTTGCTACACTAAGGTTTTGTGCAGTCGTACTAACGACCGTACCACAAGTGAGGCCATCGCACTCACTCGTAGTACATCCACACGCTTGTGGACGCTCCAAAACGTTCATCAGATGGCCATCTGATGAACAAGCGGCAGGCATCGTTACTGTCCGATGTTGCCAGTTTACTCGTGGTTAGTACCTTCTGAGCCACGGTATTCCAAGGATGACACCAAATTTGTCATCCAAATCCAATACGATGAAGTCATCGTCATATTGGGTATCTTCTAGCGTATAGTGGATCTTCACTATACGCTTCATGACGGTTACGGATGCGCCTGTCGCAAGACGTACCGTCATCCTCGTAGGAGGTGTGTCACATTCACTAAACTTAAAGTGACCATCTTCTAGCGATTGGAGTCGCACAAAATTGTTGGACGCCCCACAATCGACTAGAGCTCGAAGGGACAACTTATTCGTCACATCGAGTTTCAAGGTAATGAGTGAGATCTCATTACCTAGAGCAGCAACGCACAACGTTTGTGTGTTGGGAGCAACCTTCATCAAGAGGCCTACAAATTCTCTTGACGTTGATGGACCAGTAGGGTGCTCCGCACCTACTGATCCTGTCCGTTTTTTTACGGTTCATCCCGTTGTTACGTCTTTGAACCAACAGCGGACCCGCGTCCCTGCCTCTTTTTCATGGGTGGACGGTCATTACGCCCAGTGTTGCGAGACACTGTACGAGGGGCACTACACTCGTAAGCATAGTGTCCTGTCTTCTGACATCTGTTGCATTTCTGCAACTTCTTGTAATCTGTAGAGCGAGCCTTCTCGCTCTCTACATAACAGAGTTCCATCGGCTCTGGACCTCCGTTGTCATATCGTCTCGGTTGACGATATGATGTCGAGCTAGCGCGAGCCTGTCTCAGACTGAATTCTTCCTGTTCCGCAATGGAAATGGCTTGTTCTAGTGAATCTAGTTCAAGCCGGAACAGGTGGGTCTTGACGGGACCATCCGCAAGACCCTGCATGAACACCGAAACCAACGTGTGTTCATCCACCGGATTGGAACTTATACAACTCGTAAGATGTCGTATATGTTGGACGTAAGCGTGCACATCACGCTTACCCTGTTTGAGCTTCGAGAGTTCGGTTCGAGCCCTGAACTCAGCTCTAGGGGGTTCAAACGTTTGTCTGAGCCGCGACTTGAAGACTTCCAACGACCCAAACGCATATGGGTCGTGCAACTTGAGCCCCAGTGCCCAAGGCTTGGCACGTCCTGCCATATTTGACTGGGCAAATGCAACTTGCATATCCCCATCGTCGATGCGACGCGCCCTTATGGCGTCGTCTAATTCAACAAACCATCTCAAGAGGGAGTCCTCTTCGACTCCCCTATACTTGGAGATGTCAATCTTCAAAGTCTCGGGTCGACGCGAGTTCATCGACCCACCAGCAGCAGCCTGCTGCTGTCTTAACAGTCCAAACTGTTGAGCACCCTGTTCTCTCAACAACTCTGCTTGTTGAGAACCTTGTTGGTGAAGCAAGGCTACTTTCTCGCATTCAGCGTCAAGTTCATTTTGAATGAACTTGGCGATAGTAGCATGTTGGGCATCGCTATTGAGAGCCTCTAGCATGACGCTAACAGCATGGATGCCCATGGTCGAACCCATTCGTTCAACCGCATCCCATTCGACATCGCTCAAATGGGAGTAGCCGTCACGCGTAGCGTGAAAGCTTTGGTCATCTTCATCATCCAACATATTCATGTTAGGTGTGAACGTGGTCCTTGGACGGACTACGAAGTGCTACCAGGTGTAACGGGGCACCCTGAAGCTTGTACTGGTGACAGTACAAGCTACTTATTCTGATGACAGAATAAGGCGGTGCCTCGTAACTTCACGTACACTCGTACGTGTAGAGGAAGACGGTAAGGAGAAGCGAGTACTTGGTTAAAGTAAAAAGTAGAAACTGTATTTAGTATAGTTAATGTCTGCAATAAATCACAATTTATCTTCATCTCACTATGTCTAAATACAAATGTGTAAATTGATTATCTGCTCACCACTTATTGCGTGCGTCTGTCGTGGCGCGTCTTCGTTGGTTGATATAATGGCCGATATCAACCAATTAGGAACTACTCGTAAGTGCTACAGAATATTTGTCCTTATGACAATATTCTGAGAATATAACTCTTATAGTTATATTCTAGTAACGATTTCTTATAAATTGTTATGTAACGATTCACCCCGTTACATGTTAGATGATGGATGTTCTTTTACATTTGGTGATGTAGAAAATATGCGATAAATTGATAGCCTGAGCGCCACGCATGTGTATTCAGCAGTAAATGTAGATGCATTTGAGTTACCGTGTACACTGAGCCATGTCGCGCATGCGTCTGGTCGAGTTCAGAGAGAGAGAGAGATTTCATGACCGTCTATTAACATTTACCTATGTACAAGATGTCTGAAAACTCTGGAGCCAGGACAAGAGCTCCGGATCCGGTAGCTTGTCGTAGCTGCTTCCTGCGAAGACCACCTCATCCCGCGGTTCGAGAGTGAAGAGGTCAAGACAGGCATGTAAGAGAGCCCCGGCGACGACTGTGTCGGGACCACGATGTTCGCGTTTCGCTAACGCGCTGAGATGCCGAATCCCCACCTTCCAAAAACGGGTGACGCTGTGAATAACCGTCGTCCGCACACCTTGAAATACTGCGTCGTTTCGTTCACTCCATAAGTGAGTTAAACAGACGCTACACATAATAAACCATATGCGATTCCAAACCATGACCCCTGCTTCCAAGTCGTCTTGTAAATGTTCATGTAGGCGTTGTCGCTGCCTTGCCGGTAATGCAGGAGCCTGACGATTCACACTGCCAAAATACCAGGTCTCATCAACAGACCTCACATCTCGGAGACCCGTCCAGTGACAGATAAGTCGCCTCCAGCAGGCGCGCGCCTTTGGACATTCCCAAAAGATGTGAGCCGACGTTTCTTTACCTCCCCCAACACTCCATCAGCGCTCGACAGCTGTTGTCAGCGCGACCGTCTGGTCGAGTTCAGGGTGCCAGGGCAGATCGCAGACTCTTCCTGCACGGTGGTAGCAGCGCCTTTTCTACCATATCGACACTTCGTCACGCTTGCACTTATGCTTCGTGTCTGTGCACATGTTCTTTGCTCACTCGTGGGCATCTAACAAGGAATCAGACAACTATTGTCATTTTCAGTAGGCCTAGTTGAGCAGCATAAAATCCTCACGAATTAACACACACACCAGCTTAATGCCCGTTTAATACCGGTGGACAAGCACCGACTTCGCTAATGTTTGATAGGTTCTTTGAGCAGCCAATTCTGTGCAGTTTGCTCAACGACGTGCATCATAAAGTAGTTAAAAAGTAGTCATGGCATGTCTCGTCGAAAAGAAGCATCTTGGGAGCTGTCTGTTTACTGTCAAGCTAAGTCTGTCGCAAATTTACACGCTGTCGTTACTTCCCACCGTCTTTACAGTTCGATGAATTTCGACCCTTTCCATTCCTCCGCCCGCTCAAATCGACGATGCTAATGGGAGCTGTCGTGCTAGTATGTCCTATCTGAAGATGTCGACGCTTCTATCGCCGGATAGGCAAAATGCGACGATGTGCTACCCACTGCAGGGTCCACTGGCCATCGTATGGTTTTGCTGATGCAAGTACACATATGAAAGAGTCCTCGTACCCTAGTACGAAGTGCTGCGACCAATTCGGAAGAACGTACCCAGCTTCATGTATATGATAGCCCTGTGTGGTCGTTTGGAGTCGATGGTGCAACATAGAAGCAGTCCCATCATTGACGACTCGCACCGTTGAAGCTTGCCGCCATTTAGTCGAGATGAGGAGATCTGTCGCACATCACGGTTTTAATCCTTGCTGTATCCACGTCCTCGCGCCAGCAAAGATCGGGATGTGGGTTGCGGTGCGTCGCAATTCGTCTATCCAACACGCAATCACCGAGATTTTGGGATGGGAGGTAGCAAGCAAAACTGCTTCTGATGAGCGTCGTCGATTCGAGCGGGTGGCGGGCTACATGTGTTTACCGAGTAAGAGTCGGGAGAAGGGAAAAGAGGCGACAACGGGCTGATCTGCGACGTTCTCTAGGCTCGCAATGTACAGGCAGTACAGGTCTCATACTGCTTTGCTGCCGCGAGACATGACACCATGACCACTTCACCATGATGGTCGGTCAGCCGAATCACATGGTTTTGACTGCCTGTCGAGTCGATACAAAGTCTGCATAATGAACATTGACCGTAAGAGCTACCCAAGCACCAAACTTGCGTACTTCTTGCTGCATGAATAGACCGGCGGTCATTCCCAAACTCCATGACGATAATGAACAATGGACAAGCGAGGCCCATCATTACTCAAACATAAGATACGCAACGTGCGTGTCAATCGCGAGAAGTGTCGATTCCGAAGGAAAAGGCACTTTACCATCGCGCCGAGTGAGTCTGCGATTTGCCCAGCTACTCTGGACTCCACCAGATGTACGCGCGACATGATGATGAAGTCACTGAAGATCGAGCCGGACCACTTCCACTGTACACTTGCTGCTGAATAGATCCATTTTGCGACGTCTTACCATCGACATTGTCGATAGATAGATAGACAGCATGGGATCCCTTCCCATCCTGAAATCTCCAGCTCCAAAGCACGTTCTGCCTGTGACATTCGGGTCGTCTGATGCTGCATCGTGACCGTACCGAACAAGTCGAGACCGTCGCACCGGAATCCTCACTTTGAGTTTTTCCTCGTCTCCATCAAGACCCAATCCGATAACCATGAAGATCTTCGTGTCATCGCTGCTGGCTCTTGCCAGCATCATGACCATGATCGCAGCCAATCCGATCAAGTGCAGTGGCCCCAACGCTCGGATTGAGCCACCGGTTGGTGCGATCGTCGTGGATCCTACGGGTGATCCTAGATACCAAGGCAGCTTCCGGAACATGATCGACGCTGTTGCAAGACTGGACCGCACGTTGGAGGGGGATCAGACGATCTTCGTCTTCTCTGGTGTTTACGAGGGACGCGTGGTCATTCCGCCTATCAAAGGCAAACTTGTGCTCCAAGGCGCCACGTGTGATACAACGTCGTATGCGAAGAACCAGGCGACGATCACCCACAAAATGTCGCAGAAGAACTTACCGAAGAATGTGACGGGCGATCACGATGCAGAGACCAGCGCCATGCACTTCAAGGCGAACAACGTGAAAGTCTACAACCTCAACATCGCCAACACGGCGGGCAACACGGGACAAGCTGTCGCGGCGACTGTGGACGGCACCAACTACGGCTTTTACGGCTGCAAGTTCACTGGGTATCAAGACACTTTGTTGACCAAGAAGGGGCTTATCATGTTTGCTAACTCCTACATCAGTGGCGCCGTTGACTTCATTTTCGGCACCAAGGCCGTGGCTTGGTTCGAGCACTGCGATATCGACTGTATCGATGCGGGATATATCACTGCCAACGGTCGTTCCAGCGCCGAAATGGACTCGTATTACGTCTTCAACCATGCGAATGTCTACAGCTCGAAAAAGGGGTACAAACCGGGCATGTCCTACCTTGGTCGTCCGTGGCGTCCTTATGCTCGCGTCGTGTTTCAGAACAGCGAGCTCAGTGACGTGGTCAATGCCGCTGGTTGGTCGGACTGGAACGGTGACAGCACGAAACACGTAGAGTTTGGCGAGTTTAAAAACACTGGCCCAGGTGCGGCGAAGGGGAACGGTCGACCTGGCTTGGGCACCCAGCTAAAGGCAGCTGTGGCTTTGAAGGATTTCTTCAAGGTCGACCTTAAGAGTCAGTGGTGGATCGACTCAGCGTACGTACACGTGTAGTGCTGCTCTTTGGTCGAGAGCTTCAAAGGTTGTAGTCGTTATTTTCCTGCGCTTTAATACACTTCCGCTTGACCTTTTATCGGACACGCATACGTTCATACGAATGTTCTTGGCGCAGTTGACTCGTCATTTGGTTCACAAAGACACCGAGTTCTAACACTATGGCATGGAGGTTAGTGTGGACACGAACTGCTAGATGCAACAAAGATAAGTTGTCGGATGGAATTGTTTTACCCGACGACGTCATACCGTCTGTCCGTGCATTTGCAAACCACGAATAAACAGACGGAAGGGGTCCGTCAAGATTTCATGGGATTGTCCCTCAAACGACGCAAATGGTGTACGACATCCAGGTTGGAAGCGAAAAGGTCTCGGCTTTCTAGTTTCCCCGACACCAATACGGCATTTCTACAAACTTTTTTCTGTCTTTTATTATGACCGTCAGCCCAGCGTGTTCACCACGGTGTACCGTTAATGCGTTTCGACTTGCGTTCAAACGTTAGTGCACTCGCCCTGCGATGTGTGGAGCTTCGAACGACTAACTCAGCTCCACACAGCTGTAGCAGCATTAAACTGCTATCTTTGCTTCTGTGTAACGATGCACCCTCGAGCTCGTACTGATGGCAGTACAAGCTACTTACGACAGAATAAGGCGGTGCCTACACGGTGCGTTCACGTACACTGGTACGTGCAGAGGAAGACGGTAAGAAGAAGCGAGTACTTGGATAAAGTAAAAAGTAGAAACTGTATTTGTAATAGTCGATGTCTGTAATAAATCACTATTTATCCTCATCTAACTGTGTCTAAATACAAATGTGTATATCAACTATCTGCTCACCACTCATTGCGTGTGTCTGTCGTGGCGCGTCTTCGTTGGTTGATATAATGGCCTATATCAACCAATTAGGAACTACTCGTAAGTGCTGCAGAATATTTGTCCTTATGACAACATTCTGAGAATATAACTCTTATAGATATATTCTCTTAACAATTTCTTATAAATTGTTATGTAACGATTCACCCCGTTACATCACCCCTGTAACGGGGTGAATCGTTACCTAACAATTTACTAAAATGGATAATCGTCCCAAATATGGACAGAGTTTGCAGTATATTGTTCCGAGTCCATTCTCCAGACATTTCAAATCGCATGGTTGATATAGCCCATGCTATGCGCGATCAACCACCGAGAGCGCGCTGCACGACTGTGCGCACGCGAATGAGTGATGAACAGAAATTAATTATTATACAATGAGTGTTCTACTTACATTTAGTTATAGAAGATAAATAGTGATTTATTGCAGACATTAACTATTATAAATACAGTTCTACTCTTTCTCTACCACTTTTACCGTTCTTCCTCTGCACGTACGAGTGTACGTGAAGTTACGAGGCGCCGCCTTATTCTGTTATCAGAATAAGTAGCTTGTACTGTCACCAGTACAAGCTTCAGAGGTTGCCCCGTTACACCTGGTAGCACTTCGTAGTCCGTCCAAGGACCACGTTCACATCCAACATGAATATGTTGGATGATGAAGATGACCAAAGCTTTCACGCTACGCGTGACGGCTACTCCCATTTGAGCGATGTCGAATGGGATGCGGTTGAACGAATGGGTTCGACCATGGGCATCCATGCTGTTAGCGTCATGCTAGAGGCTCTCAATAGAGATGCCCAACATGCTACTATCGCCAAGTTCATTCAAAATGAACTTGACGCAGAACGCGAGAAAGTAGCCTTGCTTCACCAACAAGGTTCTCAACAAGCAGAGTTGTTGAGAGAACAAGGTGCTCAACAGTTTGAACTGTTGAGACAGCAGCAGGCTGCTGCTGGCGGGTCGATGCACTCGCGTCGGCCCGAGAGACCTTGAAGATTGACATCTCAAAGTATAGGGGGTCGAAGAAGACTCCCTCTTGAGATGGTTCGTCGAATTGGATGACGCCATAAGGGCGCGTCGCATCGACGACGGGGATATGCAAGTTGCATTTGCCCAGTCAAATCTGGCAGGACGTGCCAAGACTTGGGCACTGGGGCTCAAGTTGCACGACCCATGTGCGTTTGGGTCGTTGGAAGTCTTCAAGTCGCGGCTCAGACAAACGTTTGAACCGCCTAGAGCTGAGTTCAGAGCTCGAACTGAACTCTTGAAGCTCAAGCAGGGTAAGCGTGATGTGCACGCTTACGCGCAACATATACGACACCTTACGAGTTGTACCAGTTCCAATCCGGTGGATGAACACACGTTGGTTTCTGTGTTCATGCAGGGTCTTGCGGATGGTCCCGTCAAGACTCACCTGTTCCGGCTTGAACTAGATTCACTAGAACAAGCCATTTCCATTGCGGAACAGGAAGACTTCAGTCTGAGACAGGCTCGCGCCAGCTCGATATCATATCGTACACAGAGACGATATTACAGCAGAGGTCCAGATCCGATGGAACTCTGTTATGTAGAGAGCGAGAAGGCTCGCTCTACAGGCTACAAGAACTTGCAGAAATGCAACAGATGTCAAAAGACAGGACACTACGCTTACGAGTGTAGTGCCCCTCGTCCAGTGTCTCGCAACACTGGGCGTAGTGACCGTCCACCCATGAGAAAGGGGCAGGGACGAGGGTCCGCTGTTGGTGCAAAGACGCAACAACGGGATGGACCGTCAAAAACGGACAGGATCAGTAGGTGCGGAGCACCCTACTGGTCCAGCAACGTCAAGAGAATTTGTAGGCCTTTTGATGAAGGTTGCTCCCAGCACACAAACGTTGTGCGTTGCTGCTCTAGGTAATGAGGTCTCACTCATTACCTTGAAACTCGAAGTGACGAATAAGTTGTCCCTTCGAGCTCTAGTCGATTGTGGGGCGTCCAACAATTTTGTGCGACGCCAATCGCTAGAAGATGGTCACTTTAAATTCAGTGAATGTGACACACCTCCTACGAGGATGACGGTACGTCTTGCGACAGGCGCATCCGTAACCGTCATGAAGCGTATAGTAAAGATCCACTATACGCTAGAAGATACCCAATATGACGATGACTTTATCGTATTGGATTTGGATGTCAAATTTGATGTCATCCTTGGACTACCGTGGCTCAGAAGGTACGAACCACGGGTAAACTGGCAACATCGAACAGTAACGATGCCTGCCGCTTGTTCATCATATGGCCATCTGATGAACGTTTTGGAGCGTCCACAAGCGTGTGGATGTACTACGAGTAAGTGCGATGGCCTCACTTGTGGTACGGTCGTTAGTACGACCGCACAAAACCTTAGTGTAACAAACGGTTACACTTCGGAGCAAGACTCCGGCGGCTGTGAGGAAACACAGGCTGCGCCGAAGGTCCACCACTCGAATAAGTCGAGTGGACCGGGACAAAGATGTATCCCTAACGGGGAACATCTAGAAGAGAAACAATCGATCGCCCAGATTAAGCGAAACGATAATCCTAGATCGACTGGAGAGTCTTTCGTAGAGGATCTCGCTGTGGTTGCGCAGCCACAGCTAGAGGAAGTAAAGGGAATAAGTCCCGATTTTACAAATACGGCGGAAATAAGTTCCCCGAAACCCGCGGGAATAAGTCCCCGGGAAGCCGAAGGAATAAGTCCTTCGAGGCCTGAGGGGAATTAGTCCCCAGGAAATGACAGAGACATTGAATGTCCTAGTCAATGATGGATCAAGTGTAGGCCTTATACACATGATCTGATTGCGCCTCCGAAGTTGGCTTTGGAGATCACTCAGTTGCCAACGCTCGAACATAAAGGTTCTTGCGTGATCTGCGTAGTGGCAAAGTCAAGCAGATCTGCGTACTCGTCGCTGACGACGAGTGTGTAGCCGACATAAGGTCAGCAACAGTGTTTACTGAGAACGAGAGAGTTCTCAGTAGTTCATCTATGGACGAGAGTGTCCTCGATGAAAAGACACGAGTTGAGCGATATGACTCCCAATCGTGGGAATCGCTCAAGACAAATCCTCTCTATAAAGATTTGGTTGAATTCAAGGATGTATTCCCTGAAACTGTTCTGTGCGAGTTACCGAAGGATAAAGGTATTCGACACGATGTCGAGCTTAAACCAGGCTCGAAGTACTGTGTCATGAAGCAGTGGCCACTGCCTCGTGAACAAGTACTTGCGATCGACAAGTTCTTTGCCGATCGTTTAGCTGCGGGCCATGTGAGGGAATCAACTTACCCACACAGCTCTCCGACTTTCTGTGAAAAGCAACAGGGAGGATGGCGGATAGTGCATGCATTTAACAAATTGAATGCTGCAACGTCTACGCGCGAACGATACCAGGAAGGACGTAATCATTGATGGTATGTCAAAGTGTACCATCTTTTCGTCCATGGATTTGATGGATTGTCTTCTATCCAATCCTTATGCGAAAGAGAAGACAACCCCCCCTGCGCACGCACCCCCTAGCGGCATGCTCTGGGAATGGATAGTAATGCCACAAGGGGTTAGTAATGCCCCTGCCACGTTCAACAGATGTGCATCACATCTGTTGAGACCAGTACGAGAATTTGCGCCGAGTTATTTCGATGACGTATTCATCCATAGTCGGGGCTATGGATGGAAAGTCGGACGTTGAGGTTCACAGGTACCACGTCCGACAGGTTCTTACAATCATGCGAAAGCATCAATTGTATGCCAACCTCAAGAAGTGTATATTTGCAGCAAGCGAAATACCACTTCTTGGGTGCATCGTTGGTAAGAACGGTGTACGTCCTGATCCCGAAAAGATCAAGGCGATCACCAACTGGCCTGTGCCGGTTGATGTCAAAGGTCTTCGGAAAATTCCTTGGGGTGACTAGCGGGAGCACAAGTATTCACGCAATTACGCCGAGATGACTGTCACCCCCTCTCGTTGTGTGGAACGCGAGAGGTGGGTGGTGGTTATGGAAGCGCTGAATGCTCAAGCGCCTTTGATGGATGGTATCCAGCAGAGCTTGATACAATCCCCAGTCCTAGCAATAGCCGATCAGGACAGGCCATTTCATGTGGTCTGTGATGCCAGCGATTTCGCAATCGGCTGTGCATTAATGCAGTACGACCTTGAAGGCGTTGAACGCGTCGTCTGCTATCAGTCGCGTCAGCTGCAACCAGCTGAGCGGAACTATCCAGTGCATGACAAGGAACTCCTTGCCATGAAGTATGCACTCGCGAAGTTCAGAGTCTATCTATTAGGAGATAGACCCTTCATTGTTTACACTGACCATGCGTCCTTACGCACGGTAGTGAACAGCCCGCACCTTTCACAACGAATGGCGCGGTGGTTGTCATTCTTTGCAGAATACAACTTTACGGTCGAGTACAAACCAGGACGACTTAATGTCGTCGCTGATGCACTCTCACGTCGTCCCGACTTTGAAACAGTCGCGAAACCCAACAGTGAGACAGTCACTGTTGCGGTTATGACGTCCTCAGTTCCCATCTACAACGTTGTATGATGATGTGAGGCGGGCATACGCCCAAGATGGTGAGATATTGAAGTTGTTGTCACATCTCTCCCAACCATCTCGAGAATCGTTGAAACGATTGTCGTCTGCGTATCGATCTGCATCAGATCGATACACTACTCGTAACGGTTTACTGTACTATACAGCCGTTTCTGGTGACACACCACGTGTTGTCATTCCAGATGATATTGATCTGCGTTTGCGGATCATGTTCGAGTATCACGATGCTCCTATAGGAGGACATCGTGGCCGAGAGAAAACATATCTCACGGTAAGTCGAGACTTTTACTGGCCCCGCCAGTATCAGTTTGTGCGAAAGTATGTTCGCGCATGCGAAGTCTGCCAACGAGTGAAGTCAAGTCCTTCACTGCGTGCACCTTTACAGCCTCTACCGGTTCCGGCTGAGTGCTGGGAATCCATCTCAATGGATTTCGTCTTCGGGTTACCCAAAGACGCACGCGGGAATACGGGTATTCTCGTATTTGTTGACAGATTCAGCAAAAAGGTACACCTTGTGGCTGTACCAGAGTCAATCACAGCAAGTGGCTGTGCTTGTGTCTTTATCGTCCGACTTCATGGGTTGCCCCGTGAACTCGTATCAGACAGAGATCCACGCTTCACTGCTGATTTCTGGCGTTCCGTGTTCAAATCACTCGGAACGCGCTTGAAGATGTCAACATCTGATCATCCAGAGTCAGATGGTCAGACGGAACGTGCCAATCGTGTCCTTGAAGAGATACTTCGAGGATACGTACACTCCTTTAAGAGTTGGAGTGAGTTTTTGCCAATGGTAGAGTTTGCCATCAACAACTCGGTGCATGCGTCCACGACACATACACCGTTTTACGTGAATGGCTTGCGCCATCCGCGTGTACCCACCTTACTAGAGTGTAACTCTGGTTTAAGGGGGAGGGACTCGCGCGAGCAAAAACCGATTTGGTTCACGCTCATCACGCTCTGACGAAGAAGTCATTGCGTTTGATGCCGATATCGATAACATCGATATCGAAGAAGATGATGCCAGTGAGAGTGCGGAAGCCCTCACTGAAGACAATGATCCCAGTGAGAGTGCGGAAGCCCTCACTGAAGAAAAGGTTGTTGTTGCTGCAGTGCGCTCACAGCACACTGAAGCTAACGAGTCATCAGATGAGTTCATACTGGCTCGTGAAACGGTAGTCCGTTTTGTGCAAGACTCCATCGCCGAAGCGGTGGATAAGCAAAAGCAAAACGCTGACAAGAATGGAAGGGCAAACACTCTTTTATTTAATAAAGGTGACTTAGTCCTACTGTCTACGGTTAATCTACCAAAGCATGTAGTGACTAACTTGGGTAGCAGTAAACTACTACCCAAGTACATTGGCCCATTTCGTGTATTGCACCGCCTAGGCAATGCATACACGATCGAGTTACCACGTAAGATGCGAACGCATCCCACGTTTTACGTTGGTCGGCTTAAGCCGTACCATCAGTACGCTGCTTCTTCCGATGAAGAACGCCCTTGCGCTCAAGCATCTCGCAGAGAGCCTTGTGCTCCCGATGGTGGGCATCGACAAGGGTCTGAAGAGCAGTTATCTCAGCCCGAGACCGATCAACAATCCCACGAGCTACCCTTAGCTCGTCACGAAGAGATGTCAGAGATCTCTCGTTCTCAAGCTGAGCAAAGGCAAACTCAGCTCGATGCTTCGAGGCAGTGTCCGCCATCTGGAGACGCCTATTCCGCTCATGCTCGAGATCGTCGCGTAACCCTTGCGTTACGCGATCAAAGAAGCTCTCGGGAACACACCGATCCACATGATCGTGTGGAGAGCGTCTTTCCTCCTCCTCCACCTCCATTAGAGGACTCTCGCGGTGGCCAGCGCTATCTAGTAGAGCAGCTGTTGAACCACCGCGACGTGAACGGACGTCGGACGAGTTACCTCGTCCGGTGGCGCGGCTATCCCCCGTCCTGGGATTCTTGGGAGCCCCGCTCCCAACTGATGATTGACGTACTGGGTCTGGTTGAGCAGTACGACGCGACACATCCTGTGCCGCAGAAGGACCGCCGGAGAAAGTCTTCCCGGCACGGTCGTAAAGGGATTTCAGGTTGTCAATCCCTTCGTACATCTCAGTAGAGACACGTACGCGCCACCACGGGCTGGTAAGGAGGTAAGCCTCCTTAGGTGCTCGTGCAGAGTTGTTCACACAACATGGGCACGAGTCTCCCCAAGAGAGGCAGGGTAATCCTTTCTCCCTTGACAGACGATGCAGCTTATAGCGTGCACCTGTCGGGGGTTCGCTTTTCAAACTTATCACGAGCTCTGATAAGTTTGTCGTTCCAAACGTCTCGACCTACATCCTCGAGGTTATGGATGTAGGCGTTCCACGCCTGAAGTAGTGAGGGACCATCACGTTTGTGATTCCCACCTGTACCATCGATGTCTGAAGAAAGCATCGATGAAGAACTCATGTTCAGCGCGATAGTCTTTCGCGCTGGGGTCAAAGGTGATGGATCCTTGACGAATCGAGCAATCGTGTTCGATAACGATCACTCGTCGTCGCCGACAAGTGATCCATGACGGATTTTGGAGGCATCCATGCCTTCTTTTCTGGAGCGAGACGCAACACATTGCGGTCCCGCTCTTCCTGCGACGTGCCGACAGAAGTACTGGCACCTCGCTGTGAAGTGGTGTCCATAGGAGAACCGACACCACTATTAGCGCCCGAGTCTCGCGACCTCGAGCGCCTTCGCTTCGGCGATTGTTCATCTGACTCATCAGATGAACCAAAGATGCTACGACGCAAAGCATCGTCCATGCCACGCTTGGCAGGCGGCTTGGATTCAATTGCCGTCGATACGGATCCGTCATCCGTATCAGGAGAGTACGAGACACCGAGCTCGTACTCTGTGAAGACACGAGTGTCTTCATGACCAGCGCCTGCATCACCAGGTGATACAGGCTGAGTCGATTCAGCAACCGATGGGACATCAGTTGCTGTAGTTTCTGCTTCGGCGTCCGCACAGAGACGTGCAGACGCGCTCTCGGCGGCCTTGCTCGCGCATCGCATGGGCTTGTTTACCATGCGATGAGATGTTGGAAAGTGGACGCGGACCAACAAGTGCAAACCCCGTCCCAAATGATTTGGGACGAGTATCCATTTAGTCAATCAGTCACTAAAGTGACTGATGGTTAAGGGGGGGTGATGTAACGGGGTGAATCGTTACATAACAATTTATAAGAAATTGTTAATAGAATATAACTATAAGAGTTATATTCTCAGAATATTGTCATAAGGACAAATATTCTGTAGCACTTCCAAGTAGTTCCTAATTGGTTGATATAGGCCATTATATCAACCAACGAAGACGCGCCACGACAGACGCACGCAATGAGTGGTGAGCAGATAACTGATTTACACATTTGTATTTAGACATAGTTAGATGAAGATAAATAGTGATTTATTGCAGACATTAACTATTATAAATACAGTTCTACTTTTTACTCTAACCGAGTACTCGCTTCTTCTTACCGTCTTCCTCTGCACGTACGAGTGTACGTGAAGTTACGAGGCGCCGCCTTATTCTGTTATCAGAATAAGTAGCTTGTACTGTCACCAGTACAAGCTTCAGGGTGCCCCGTTACAACCCCCCCTTAACCATCAGTCACTTTAGTGACTGATTGACTAAATGGATACTCGTCCCAAATCATTTGGGACGGGGTTTGCACTTGTTGGTCCGCGTCCACTTTCCAACATCTCATCGCATGGTAAACAAGCCCATGCGATGCGCGAGCAAGGCCGCCGAGAGCGCGTCCGCACGTCTCTGTGCGGACGCCGAAGCAGAAACAACAGCAACTGATGTCTCATCGGTTGCTGAAACGACCCAGCCTGTGTCACTTGGTGACGCAGGCGCTGGTCATGAAGACACTCGTGTCTTCACAGAGTATGAGCTCGGTGTCTCATACTCTCCTGATACGGAAGACGGATCCGTATCGACGGCGATCAAAACCAAGCCGCCTGCCAAGCGTGGCATGGATGATGCTATGCGTCATAGCATCTTTGGTTCATCTGATGAATCAGATGAACAATCGCCGAAGCGAAGGCGCTCGAGATCGCAAGACTCGGGCGCTAACAGTGGGTGTCGGTTCTCCTATGGACACCACTTTGCAGCGAGGTGCCAGTACTTCTGTCGGCACGTCGCAGGAAGAGCGGGACCGCAGTGTGTTGCGTCTCGCTCCCGAGAAGAAGGCATGGATGCCTCCTAAATCCGTCATGGATCACTTGTCGGCGCCGACGAGCGATCGTTATCGAACACGATTGCTCGATTCATCAAGGATCCATCACCTTGACCCCAGCGCGAAAGACTATCACACTGAGAATGAATTCTTCATCGATGCTTTCTTTAGACATCGATGGTACAGGGGGAATCACAAGCGTGATGGTCCCTCACTGCTTCAAGCGTGGAACGCCTACATCCATAACCTTGAGGATGTAGGTCGAGATGTTTGGAACGACAAACTTGTCAGAGCTCGTGATAAGTTTGAAAAGCGAACCCCGACAGGTGCACGCTATGAGCTGCATCGTCTGTCAAGAGAGAAAGGATTACCCTGCCTCTCTTGGGGAGACTCGTGCCCATGTTGTGTGAACAACTCTGCACGAGCACCTAAGGAGGCTTACCTCCTCTACCAGCCAGTGGTGGCGCGTACGTATCTCTAGTGAGATGTCCGAAGGGATTGACAACCTGAAATCCCTTTACGACCGTGTCGGGAAGGCTTTCTCCGGCGGTCCTTCTGCGGCACAGGATGTGCCGCGTCGTACTGCTCAACCAGACCCAGTACGTCGATCATCAGTTGGGAGCGGGGCTCCCAAGAATCCCAGGACGGGGGATAGCCGCGCCACCGGACGAGATAACTCGTCCGACGTCCGTTCACGTCGCGGTGGTTCAACAGCTGCTCAACTAGATAGCGCTGGCTACCGCGAGAGTCCTCTAATGGAGGTGGAGGAGGAGGAAAGACGCTCTTCACACGATCATGTGGATCGGTGTGTTCCCGAGAGCTTCATTGATCGCGTAACGCAAGGGTTACGCGGCGATCTCGAACATGAGCGGGACAGGCGTCTTCAAATGGCGGACGCTGCCTCGAAGCATCGAGCTGAGTTTGCCTTTGCTCAGCTTGAGAACGAGAGATCTCTGACATCTCTGCGTGACGAGCTAAGGGTAGCTTGTGTGGATATGGACCGGTCTCGGGCTGAGATAACTGCTCTTCAGACCCTTGTCGATGCCCACCATCGGGAGCACAAGGCTCTCTGCGAGATGCTTGAGCGCAAGGGCGTTCTTCATCGGAAGAAACAGCGTACTGATGGTACAGCTTAAGCCGACCAACGTAAACGTGGGATGCGTTCGCATCTTACGTGGCAACTCGATCGTGTATGCATTGCCTAGGCGGTGCGATACACGAAATGGGCCGATGTACTTGGGTAGTAGTTTACTACTACCCAAGTTAGTCACTACATGCTTTGGTAGATTAACCGTAGACAGTAGGACTAAGTCACATTTATTGAATAAAAGAGTGTTTGCCCTTCCATTCTTGTCAGCGTTTTGCTTTTGCTTATCCACCGCTTCGGCGATGGAGTCTTGCACAAAACGGACTACCGTTTCACGAGCCAGTATGAACTCATCTGATGACTCGTTAGCTTCAGTTCGCTGTGAGTGCACTGCAGCGACATCAATCGTTTCTTCAGTGAGGGCTTCCGCACTCTCACTGGCATCATCTTTTTCGATATCGATGTTGTCGATATCGGCATCAAACGCAATGACCTCATCGTCAGAGAGTGATGAGCGTGAACCAAATCGGTTTTTGCTCGCGCGAGTCCCCCCCCTTAAACCAGAGTTACACTCTAGTAAGGTGGGAACACGCGGATGGCGCAAGCCATTCACGTAAAACGGTGTGTGTCGTGGACGCATGAACCGAGTTGTTAATGGCAAACTCTACCATTGGCAAGAACTCACTCCAACTCTTAAAGGAGTGTACGTATCCTCGAAGCATCTCTTCGAGGACACGATTGGCGCGTTCCGTCTGACCATCTGACTCTGGACGATCAGATGTCGACATCTTCTAGCTCGTTCCGAGTGATTTAAACACGGAACGCCAGAAATCAGCAGTGAAGCGTGGATCTCTGTCTGATACGAGTTCACGGGGCAACCCATGAAGTCGGACGATAAAGACACAAGCACAGCCACTTGCTGTGATTGACTCTGGTACAGCCACAAGGTGTACCATTTTGCTGAATCTGTCAACAAATACGAGAACACCAGTATTCCCGCGTGCGTCTTTGGGTAACCCGAAGACGAAATCCATTGAGATGGATTCCCAGCACTCAGCCGGAATCCGGTAGAGGCTGTAAAGGTGCACGCAGTGAAGGACTCGACTTCACTCGTTGACAGACGTCGCATGCGCGAACATACGTTCGCACAAACTGATACTGGCGGGGCCAGCAAAAGTCTCAACTCACCGTGAGATATGTTTTCTCTCGGCCACGATGTCTTGCTATAGGAGCATCGTGATACTCGAACATGATCCGCAAACGCATATCAGTATCATCTGGAATGACAACACGTGGTGTGTCACCAGAAACGGCTGTATAATACAGTAAACCCGTCGCGAGTAGTGTATCGATCTAGTGAAGATCGATACGCCTACGATAATCGTTTCAACGATTCTCGAGATGGTTGTGAGAGATGTGTCAACAACTTCAAAATCTCACCATCTTGGGCATACGCCCGCCTCACATCATCATTCAACGTTAAAGATGGGACTGAGGACGTCATAACCGCAACATTGGCTGTCTCACTGTTGAATTTCACGACTGGTTCAAAGTCGGGATGACGTGAGAGTGCATCAGCGACGACATTAAGTCGTCCTGGTTTGTACTCTACCGTAAAGTTGAATTCTGCAAAGAATGACAACCACCGCGCCATTTGTTGTGAAAGGTGCGGGCTGTTCACTGCCGTGCGTAATGACGCATGGTCTGTGCAAACAATGAAGGGTATCTCTCCTAATAGATAGACTCTGAACTTCGCGAGTGCATACTTCATGGCAAGGAGTTCCTTGTCATGCACTGGATAGTTCCTCTCAGCTGGTTGCAGCTGACGCGACTGATAGCAGACGACGCGTTCAACGCCTTCAAGATCGTACTGCATTATTGCACAGCCGATTGCGAAATCGCTGACATCACAGACCACATGAAATGGCCTGTCCTGATCGGCAATTGCTAGGACTGGGGATTGCATCAAGCTCTGCTTGATACCATCAAAGGAGCGCTGACATTCCGCGTTCCGTACCCACCTCTCGTTCGTTTTCAACAAACGAGAGAGGTGCACAGTCATTTCGGCGTAATTGCGTGAATACTTGTGCAAATACGCCGCTAGTCCAAGGAATTTTTAAAGACCTTTGACATCAACCGGCACAGGCCAGTTGGTGATCGCCTTGATCTTTTCGGGATCAGGACGTACACCGTTCTTACCAACGATGCACCCAAGAAGTGGTATTTCACTTGCTGCAAATATACACTTCTTGAGGTTGGCATACAATTGATGCTTTCGCATGATTGTAAGAACCTGTCGGACGTGGTATCTGTGAACCTCAACGTCCGACTTTCCATCCATAGCCCGACTATGGATGAATACGTCATCGAAATAACTCGGCGCAAATTCTCGTACTGGTCTCACCAGATGTGATACACATCTGTTGAACGTGGCAGGGGCATTACTGAGCCCTTGTGGCATTACTATCCATTCCCAGAGCATGCCGCTAAGCGTGCTCATTGCGGTAAAGGGTATGTCCCGTTCTCGCATAAGGATGAGATAGAAGCCATCCATCAAATCCATGGACGAGAAGATGGTACTCTTTGACATACCATCAATGATTACGTCCTTCCTTGGTATCGGCGTCTGAACCGGTACCGTTGCAGCAGTCAACTTGTTAAATGCATGCACAATCCGCCAACCTCCTGTTTCTTTTCGCACACAGAAGGTCGGAGAGCTATGTGGGGAAGTTGATTCCATCACATGGCCCGCAGCTAAACGATCGGCAAAGAACTTGTCGATCGCAAGTACTTGTTCACGAGGCAGTGGCCACTGCTTCATGACACAGTACTTCGAGCCTGGTTTAAGCTAGACATCGTGTCGAATACCTTTATCCTTCGGTAACTCGCACGGAACAGTTTCAGGGAATACATCCTTGAATTCAACCAAATCTTCATAGAGAGGATTTGTCTTGAGCGATTCCCACGATTGGGAAACATATCGCTCAACTCGTGTCTTTTCATCGAGGACAATCTCGTCCGTAGATGAACTACTGAGAACTCTCTTGTTCTCAGTAAGCATTGTTGCTGACCTTATGTCGGCTACACACTCGTCGTCAGCGACGAGTACGCAGATCTGCTTGACTTTGCCACTACGCAAATCACGCAAGAACCTTTTATGTTCGAGCGTTGGCAACTGAGTGATCTCCGAAGTCAAATTCGGAGGCGCAATCAGATCAAGTGTATAAGCGCCTACACTTGATCCGTTATTGACTGTGACATTCAATGTCTCCGTCATTTCCTGGGGACTAATTCCCTCAGGCCTCGAAGGGCTTATTCCTTCAGCTTCCCGGGGACTTATTCCCGCGGGTTTCGGGGAACTTATTTCCGCCGTATTTGTAAAATCGGGACTTATTCCCTTAACTTCCTCTAGCTGTGGCTGCGCAACCACAGCGAGATCCTCTACGAAAGACTCTCCAGTCGATCTAGGATTATCGTTTCGTTTAACCTGGGCGATCGATTGTTTCTCTTCTAGATGTTCCCCGCTAGGGATACATCTTTGTCCCGGTCCACTCGACTTATTCGAGTGGTGGACCTTCGGCGCAGCCTGTGTTTCCTCACAGCCGCCGGAATCTTGCTCCGAAGTGTAACCGTTTGCTACACTAAGGTTTTGTGCAGTCGTACTAGCGACCGTACCACAAGTGAGGCCATCGCACTCACTCGTAGTACATCCACACGCTTGTGGACGCTCCAAAACGTTCATCAGATGGCCATCTGATGAACAAGCGGCAGGCATCGTTACTGTTCGATGTTGCCGGTTTACCCGTGGTATGTACCTTCTGAGCCACGGTATTCCAAGGATGACACCAAATTTGTCATCCAAGTCCAATACGATAAAGTCATCGTCATATTGGGTATCTTCTAGCGTATAGTGGATCTTCACTATACGCTTCATGACGGTTACGGATGCGCCTGTCGCAAGACGTACCGTCATCCTCGTAGGAGGTGTGTCACATTCACTAAACTTAAAGTGACCATCTTCTAGCGATTGGCGTCGCACAAAATTGTTGGACGCCCCACAATCGACTAGAGCTCGAAGGGACAACTTATTTGTCACTTCGAGTTTCAAGGTAATGAGTGAGATCTCATTACCTAGAGCAGCAACGCACAACGTTTGTGTGTTGGGAGCAACCTTCATCAAGAGGTCTGCAAATTCTCTTGACGTTGATGGACCAGTAGGGTGCTCCGCACCTACTGATCCTGTCCGTTTTTTTTACGGTCCATCCCGTTGTTGCGTCTTAGAACAAACAGCGGACCCTCTTCCCTGCCCCTTTCTCATGGGTGGACGGTCATTACGCCCAGTGTTGCGAGACACTGGACGAGGGGCACTACACTCGTAAGCATAGTGTCCTGTCTTTTGACATCTGTTGCATTTCTGCAACTTCTTGTAGTCTGTAGAGCGAGCCTTCTCGCTCTCTACATAACAGAGTTCCATCGGCTCTGGACCTCCGTTGTCATATCGTCTCGGTTGACGATATGATGTCGAGCTGGCGCGAGCCTGTCTCAGACTGAAGTCTTCCTGCTCCGCAATGGAAATGGCTTGTTCTAGTGAATCTAGTTCAAGCCGGAACAGGTGAGTCTTGGCGGGACCATCTGCAAGACCCTGCATGAACACAGAAACCAACGTGTGTTCGTAAACCGGATTGGAACTTATACAACTCGTGAGATGTCGTATATGTTACGCGTAAGCGTGCACATCACGCTTACCCTGTTTGAGCTTCAAGAGTTCGGTTCGAGCCCTGAACTCAGCTCTAGGCGGCTCAAACGTTTGTCTGAGCCGCGACTTGAAGACTCCCAATAACCCAAACGCATATGGGTCGTGCAACTTGAGCCCCAGTGCCCAAGTCTTGGCACGTCCTGCCAGATTTGATTGGGCAAATGCAACTTGCGTATCCCCATCGTCGATGCGACGCGCCCTTATGGCGTCGTCCTACTCAACAAACCATCTCAAGAGGGAGTCCTCTTCGACTCCCCTATACTTGGAGCTGTCAATCTTCAAAGTCTCGGGTCGACGCGAGATCATCGACCCACCAGCAGCAGCCTGCTGCTGTCTTAACAGTCCAAACTGTTGAGCACCCTGTTCTCTCAACAACTCTGCTTGTTGAGAACCTTGTTGGTGAAGCAAGGCTACTTTCTCGCATTCAGCTTCACGTTTATTTTGAATGAACTTGGCGATAGTAGCATATTGGGCATCTCTATTGAGAGCCTCTAGCATGACGCTAACAGCATGGAAGCTCATGATTGAATCCATCCATTCAACCGCATCCCATTCGACATCGCTCAAATGGGAGTAGCCGTCACGCGTAGCGTGAAAGCTTTGGTCATCTTCATCATCCAACAAAATCATGTTAGATGTGAACGTGGTCCTTGGACGAACTACAAAGTGCTACCAGGTGTGACGGGGCAACCTCAAGCTTGTACTGATGACAGTACAAGCTACTTATTCTGGTAACAGATTAAGGCGGTACCGCGTAACTTCACGTACACTGGTACGTGCAGAGGAAGACGGTAAGGAGAAGCGAGTACCTGGTTAAAGTAAAAAGTAGAACTGTATTTATAATAGTTAATGTCTGTAATAAACCCCTTGTTTGTCTTCATCTAACTAAGTCTGAATACAAATGTGCATATCAACTATCTGCTCACCACTCATTGCGTGCGTCTGTCGTGGCGCGTCTTCGTTGGTTGATATAATGGCCGATATCAAACAATTAGGAACTACTCGTAAATGCTGCAGAATATTTGTCCTTATGACAACATTCTGAGAAACTCTTATAGATATATTCTATTAACAATTTCTTATAAATTGTTACGTAACGATTCACCTCGTTGCATTCTGCCTACTACTATTTTGCATATCGGACAGGTTCACATCCAAGCTTTACAACATAATTGTTTCGATCGCTTCGTGCATGACTTCTACGGGTACATCCGATCGATTAATCTACATAGTCTTTTTCTGGTCTTGAATACTCATCATGAGCGCCGCGAAAACATACCCAATAAGTTTGAAACGGACACTGGATGCCGTACAGATGTCGTTCTTGATGAGCAGTTGTAATAACTTTGTGTAGGTGCAGGTGACGTCAAGCCTTGGAATCTACAAGCACCAGTGTGCTGTTTGCAATGATACCGAGCCATTAAGCACTGGTAATTTGCATACGATGTCTACGAATTAGTGCGTCTTTGTTGTTTACTACAATGTTTCAACTCCGTTGTTAAGTCAGAGGAAGACTTAACGCTCTACGAGCAACTTAGTTCTAAAGAACTAGCGACTCTACGAGTCGACAAGCTTTACAGCTTCAGGTCCCTGTTCCAGGTAACCTAACGATTCAGTGAGTCGACAGCACTCAGTGCTCAAGAGTAGCTACCTCAAGGAGGTGTTGCTAACTCTTAGTGATCGGTGATCAGCGATCAAGACGGCTCGCAAGCCACGTGTCCCTTAGATCAAAATGGAAACTGATTTCAATTATGGTTAAAACTTATAGAAAACATTAGTCCTACTCAAAGATCTTTCGTACCTAATAAATGCCACTCGTCAGCCCCTACAAACCGATAAGATATTCTATATCACCTTCCTAGGGGTACCATCAGGTGTGTGACACACCTGGTACAAAGTACCCTTATACGTGCAACCCCGTTACACCCTCCCCCACCAGACTGACGTTTACTAAAACGTCATTCGAACTTGTGTTCCTAAGCGAGAACAGTGCGCGTACGGTAAGCCTCACGGCAACGTACGCAATAGAACGATGTTCTCATCATCAAAAGAGACAAAGCCTTTGTGTGACTACCTCGGAATAGAGGATGCAGTGGACTATGGTAGCGATACCAGCGTCCAGGGTGATACAGGGACAGTGTCCGACTCACCGATGCCTGAGGCGCAACCTTCGAATACCTTAAGTCCGTTCTCTGAACGTGGAGATGCGAGCGTGCCACTGGCGCAGCATTTAACACCTGGTTCTGATGAAACTACCATCACGAACCCGCTCGATGAGCAACAACAAATGCTTGTCCAACGAGAAAAAATCGCTCAGCGTCATGCACAAATGGTTACAACCCTCGAGCGCCAACGTGACTATGTGTTCACTCCACCCAGTGTGGAGGAGCGTCTACGTCAAGCGGTCGGCCAAACATTGACGACGTGGGTCATTGGACGTGGGCCTAAGACTCCTCAGGAGGTGATTACCTTCCAGGCACATCGTGAGAGGTACCTGGAGCCACACCTAACGACTCAAAGTCAACACAAGACACGCCTTGACATGCAAGCGCGTGGTGCACCAGTTCCACCGATCAAGGGTATACCCATTCTCTTGTTCGCAGTCGAAACAGTGAGAGAAGAAGACGATGCCTTCGTTCGCTGGGTGCACCATGTACGTCGCCTCAGCAACGTTTTTGCTCTAACGGCTAGTGCCCATGACGCTGATATGCGTCTTGAACGCAAGCTTCGGTATGATTATGCCAAGCTTAAGGCCAGAGGCCAATTGCGCAAGCGCACGCGCTATGCTTCAGCTACTACGATAGCCACGAGTGCTGGTCAGTCTGTGACCAACAACCCACCAACCCACACCACTAGTGGTGGGAAACGGCCTTGGTCTCGAGATGATCATGACCACGATGCTCAAAGCATCCAAAGAATAAGGGCAGTCTTGCCGAAGGGGTATCTCAAACTCCCACGAGTTTTCAGACTCAGGGTACCCTCGCCACTTTACCAGATGATGGTATTGGCCCTGACGACGACGCCGTTGTAGTAGTCTCTCGACATGAAACTGACGACACCCATGCTCATCGAGCAAAGTCGGTGGCGGCCGGTGTACCGGTAGAGGCCCACGATAAATTGGTTCTCAAAGTGAAAGGTCTTCAAGAGACCTTGGGTAAGACCCAGTGCATACTGGATGCGATGAAAAGCCGCCTTCAAAAAATGAATTAAGCTCAAACTCGGAGCGAGGCTCAGTTGGACCAGCTGATTCGTCCACAGCAATCCGGGGCATTGCCCTTGTCGTCGGCGCAAGCGCCTCCATGTTCACATGGGAAGGATCCCGGTACGGCTTAAGTAAGCCTACGTAGAACACTGGATGTGTGCGCAATTTGCGCGGAAGGTTTAGCGTACACGCGAGTCCCTTCTTGGCAGTGACCGTAAATGGTCCAGTAAAGCGTGGATGCAACTATGTCTTAAAGACCGCAGACACTACATTTGTAAATATAATTTTAGCATTGAGAAGTACTTAGTCTCCGACCTCATAACGTTCAATACATTTTCTGCCTTTGGCATCAGCTTGTTGTTATTGGTTATCTTGGCTATCAGCCATTGCGTCACGCACATGTCTTACGACAGTTTATCGCGTTGCGAAAACTCGCCTACCTGTTTTTATACAGTAGCAGGGCTGATATCAGCAAGCCGATCGGCAATCTCTCCTTCACTAAGCCCTAAATTCAGAGTGATAGCGTTAACGGAACGCGAGGGTGAGTGATACCGTTTATACTGAACGGAATAAAGCCTGTTGCGGCATGAACAGCGTTATTCAACGCAAACTCAACAACAGGGAGCGTTGAGCTCCAACGCCTATGCGTATCAGCGCAAACACTGCGCAAAATGTCATTGATGACGCGGTTAACACGCTCAGTTTAACCGTCGGTCTGCGGATGATCTGCTGTGGACATGTCCAATGTAGTGCCCAGCACCTTGAAGATAGACTTCCAAAACTTTCCAGTGAAGCGGGGGTCTCTTTCAGAGACAACTGTCATAGGTAAACCGTGTTGACGAAAGACACAGTCGATAAACAGCTTTGATGTACCTTCAGCATCGATGCTATCCGGCACAGCCGCTAAGTGATCCATCTTGCTCAATCGGTCAACAAACACCACCATTTTAGTGTTGCCTTCCGAATCTTTCGGTAGGCCAAACACAAAATCCAGGCTTATGGACTCCCAACAACTAGTGGGTACTGGAAAACTAGCCAGCAGCGCCGCCGCATGTGCTGAGGTTCTAACCCGTTGACACTTTTCACACGTACGCACATAGGTGCTCACCCACTAATAAAGCTCGGGCCACCAATAACTTTGGCTCACCGAGCTATAACTTTTCTCACGACCGAGATTACCACATAAAGTAGTATCGTGTGCCTCATAGAGGATTCGATACTTCAATTCCGCACCTTGATATACAGCGATTCGAGCACAAAATCCGTGCGATAGCACAACAGGCCGTTATCGATAAAATATCGATGTAGCCTCGCACGTATACGTGCCGACAATTCTATGTCCGAGTCTTTAAACTCACCGCTCCCGAGAGCACGTTGCAAAGCTACACACTGATCATCCTTGTCATATGCCGCACGGATTAAGTCAGTGACTGACGACGACAGAGTCGTAACATGAGCAAGCTCATAGTCAGGTCGACGCGAATAGCGCATCAGCCAAAGCGTTTTGCTTACCTGGCTTGTACTTCACCTCGAAGTTATATTCGGCAAAGAAGGAAAGCCAACGAGCCATTCTCTGTGAGAGATAAGGCGACTGTTTTGCTGTTCGTAATGACGCATGATCTGTATAGATCACAAACGGCTTTAAGCCAAGCAGATGTACTCTGAATTTGACAAGAGCGTACTTCATAGCAGGTAGCTCTTTGTCATGATCTGGATAGTTCTTTTCAGCAGTTTTCAACCGCCGAGACTCGAATGCAATGACGCGTTCGCGTCTATCGATATCTGTTTGTAACAGAACACTGTCTATAGAGAAGTCAGATGCGTCACAGACGACACTGAAAGGCCGATCAGGATCGGGCAAAGCCAACATTGGCGCATCAAGGAGACCCTCCTTAACTGCTTCAAAAGCATCATGTTCGGTATCACCCCAACACCAATCCACTTCATTTTTTTAGGAGATTGGACATAGCCGAGCCACATTTGCGTAATTCGCACTGCACTTACGTAAGTAATCAGCAAAGCCAAGCCACCATTATCATCAATTACTTCAATATTTTCTACTTACGTAAGTCCTTTTGGTTCTTGAAAACCGTCCAATCGACTATGGCTTTTACCTTAGCGGGATCCGCTCGAAGGCCTCGCTTCCCAATGAGCACCCTAGAAAGGGGATCTCTTCTGCACCAGATATGCAATTTGATGCGTTAGCATACAAATTATTCGTCCGCATGCAATCGAGCACCGCTTGTAAATGATCAATGTGGTTATCCACATCTGATCGCCCATTCATTGCACGATAATGGAAATAAATGTCATCAAAGTACGTTTTTGCACAGCCTCGATGAGTTTTGAACAGTTGCGTTACCAGCCGGTTAAACGTAGCCGGGGCGTTAGATAGCCCTTGTGGCATTACGAGCTACTCCCAGAGCACACCGCTGGGAGTACTCACCGCTGTTAGCATAAATATCTCTCGCCCGCACGAAAAGCTGGTAATACCCGTCGACTAAGTCGAGTACGCTATACAATGTACACCCCACCATATTGTTTTGAAGAACATCCTTTTTAGGAATAGACGTCTAAACCGGTATAGTTGCTGCATTAAGTTTATGATAAGCATGCACAATGCGCCACTTGCCATTTGGCTTCTTAACACAAATGACAGTGTTGAATGGGGCGATTAGCTCTCACGAACCATTTCTGCTGCGTGCTTAGTACGAAAGAACTAGTCAATAAAGTCACACTGTTCTTTAGACAATGGCCACTGCCGTGTTACGCAGTATCTAGTTTCTGGAACTTAGTCACTTTCAAGACGTACACCTCTATCAGGTGGAAAGACAGACGGTGGGTTGTGACACACCACATCTTTAAATTCCTTAACCAAAGAATAAAATGGATCCAAAAGGATCTTTAAGGATCGAAGATCCACTTCGTGCACTAAGTGCCGCATTTGTATCCTTTAGAAAAGACTCATCCATTAACGAGGAAGAATTTAACTCAGTATCAGGTCTAATGACCGCTAACTCGGATAACTCTCCTGCCTTCAAGGCCTGGCTAAACTCGCCAAGAGACATTTCGTCTAGCTCACAAAGAGCGCCCACAGATGGAAGGGTTTTAGGGCAAACACTGCCATCAACGTGACCAGTCGCTCCATTAACAGGTGTATATAGTGTATTGCTATTATCACTGTGTCACTGTGAGGACGCCTGGCGCTTTACAGTTGCTACCCGGCGTCTCGATCGTCTCTTCGAGACCTTACACCCCTTAGGGGTCGGGACAATATTGTCCCCATGGTTACTACCAACCATAGTACGTTTTATACGAGAGCTTATGTCTTGACCGACATCCGGTGAAGTGTTACATAACTCGAACACTTTACCCAGTCGATTTAAACGTGCCACTCCACGTGTACTATGCGGGTCTAGCCCTAATTTTAACGGCGTCTCGCCAACAATGTCATTACCGACGTTAAGCGTGGTGCCTTCACGGCCGCCTACACTAAATGGCGTATCGCCAACAATGTCATTACTGACATTAGGTGTGGTTCCCTCACGGCCGCCCACACTATACGGCGTATCGTCAACAACGTCATTACCGACGTTAAGCGTGGTGCCTTCTCAGCCGCCCACACTAAATGGCATATGGCCAACAATGTCATTACCGACATAAAGTGCGGTGCTCTCACGGCCGACCGCACTTGGTGTAGTTTCACGTGCCACCATACACACATCAAAGGAGTCACATCCTTGATCACTCGGCCCTAGGCCAACCATGCTTTCAGCATGCAGTGACTCGTTGTCACAACGAGTAACACTCAACGGGGTACGTGCCGTTTCACTAAATTTAGACGAGCTGGGCTCGAAACTTATGTTTGTAACATAGGAGTTAGATAACTCGTACATTACAATATCCAGCACATTGACATCTTCTGTCAAAGGCTCGCGCCAATAGCGCTTCTGTTGCCTAGCGAAAGTGGGTTCATGACTCTCCAAAACTTCGCTAGGAACATTGCGCGTAGCGCCTAAGGTCTTAGACCTCCTTTCAATTCATGGCTCCTGGCGTTCAAGCCAAGCACTACCTAGGATGAGATCATATCTCGAGTCCATACATACGACAAGACAGCGCTCAATACTGTCAAAGTCTAAAAACTTTATACCTAAGTTCAATGGAACTTTAGGCACAGTTACGCGACTTCCAGTCGCTAAACGAACCGTGATAGAATCACCCTCATGCGCTGTAAGCGCCTCAGCATAAAACTGACTTCCCTAAATGGAACGGCGTCGAGCATAATTGCAAGACGCTTCAGAATCGATCAATATCGACCAAGGCTTCTCGGAACCATTAATTTTCGCCTCGGCAACCAACAAGCCGGACTTGTATCCACGCACCATACCCGTAGGTTCGGTACTCTTTGGGGTTAAGCCCTGCCTTCCTGTACCTTCTAAAGGTGTATAGAACCTAATTATTCCCCAGTAGGGCGCCCCGTGCCTACTGGGTGTCGGCATTTCCCCGTGCCATGCCAGACTTCTGACTCGGGGTCGAGTGCTGGCTTGTAGCCTGGCGTTGCTTACGCAAAGGGCAACCAAGCCGCAAGCGTTTAGTGCTTCCGCACGTAAAACATCAGCGTACGACGTGATGCTGCTCAGCAGCTTAAAGCTCAGCTTCACCTCCATCTTCAGTATAGCTGAGATCCATCGGTTCCGGCCTATTATAGGCAGTGGTACCCGAAAAGTTTGCTTTCACAGAGCGAAGGTTGTACCCATTCCAACCAAGTCTGGCCGACTTGAAGTTATGCTCAGCATTAAGAGCAATTCTCACAGCCTCTTCAAAAGTAG